GAGAAGTATGTGGCTCCCCTTAACTGATCAAACAAGTCATCAATCATGGGCAAAGGATACTTGTTACGAATCGTAACCTTGTTCAACTCCCTGTAGTCTATACACAGGCGAAGCGAACCATCCTTCTTCTTCACAAACAGAACCGGTGCTCCCCAAGGTGATGTACTCCTACGAATAAAACCCTGGCTGAGTAACTGCTGAATCTGATCCCTCAGCTCTCTCATCTCCACCGGTGCCATCCTATAGGGTGCCCTAGCAAAAGGCGCAGTGCCTGGAGCTAAATCTATCACAAAATCGATCTCGCGACTAGGTGGCAACCCTGGAATCTCCTGAAATACATCCGGAAAATCTTGTACAATTTGTATGTTACCCAAAGATACAGTAATCCCCTCCTCCGTCTCCTACTCTACCCGAAAAAAAAAATAGGTGCTATTGTCCCCGCTAGAGCGTGGCATAGCAACGACGTAAAATATCCTAATTAGGTATGGTGAACACAATAGACCTTTCCAACATAAATAACTTGAGTATGGTAGTAATAACCAATCCATCTCAAGTATCACGTCATATGTGTGCATGTCTAGGACCAAAAGACTTGTTAGACATCTGAGTCTACCAATATCTAGTGTCACAGGACCATCCTCCTATGTAAAGTGGTGGTATTGCCAAAAAGGTGTAGAAATACCCTGAGGTCTATTGCATACATGTGTCACCAACCTAAATCCCAACGGTTCAAAACACGTAAAATAAACAAAATGCTCCGAAATCTACTCAGAGTTAGAACGTCGCTCTATTTTGAGAATCTTCCTTCTATACCAAACCCAACACATTGAGTTTACACAAGTTCTTTTATAACTCCTTGGTAATCATCCTATTTCAAGACAATGAACCTATAAGCAAAACTTTGTTTGCTTGTCCAAAAACCAATCACCCTACTGTGACTGACTTCCTTTCCTTATCGCAACGTACACATTCCAATCCAATTTAATAAAACCATTCATGTATACATCACAACACAACTTCCAATAAACAAAATTGAGATAGCCAAAACCACAAGTTTACTTTATTAAGAACTTTTCAAACCAAAACTGTCAAACAAATAACCGTAAGGTATTCTTTAACATAATCCTAATGTACGTGATTAAATCCGTACTACATTCTTACTAATACTTCCTCCACTACTAGTAATTAAAAGTACTCTTAAAAGAGCAGTCATCCTTGAACTCTGGTGCCCTCCATCTCGGATGCTCCGGTATCTCCTCCATCCTGATCTTCTTCAGGGTCTTCCTCTCCCCTTGGCTCAGCTTCAAGCACCACCGAAGTTATGTTAGGTCCACAGTATGGTGGCCAATCCTGCACGCAAGAAACTTTCCTTGACTTGTACTCCGAAGCAATGCCTATTGGAATCAACTCCTTAGTCTCCAATTTTGCCTTCTTGATCGGCCTTCGTAGGGGAATTACCGGCGTAACCTTCCTCGGCCTTGGGCCCTTCTTTGCTTTCATCGCGGCCCTTATCCTCCTCCTAGTGCCAAACATTCTGCACTTACAGAATAAACTTGACATCAGTAACCTCTAAACGAACCGTAAAGGAATACGACGAATCCTAAACTTAAGCTCTAATCAAGAGAAAACGCTACGCGGAAGACTTAATACGAAATATCCTAGAGACACTTGAACCTGGAGTGCTCTGATACCAACTGTGATACCCCTCGGATCCGAGACACGGGTTGATCAGGCCCAGGCCCAAACCCGAGGGAATATCAAACAATTAAAGTATTTTAAATCGAACACAGATGACAAAATGAATTTAATAAATAAAGTTTAAGCTGGAAGAAACTAAAAGTAAAATCCTTTATAATTAAATACTTAGAATCTGATAATCCAAAACTCCATCAGTTTAACAACTCGGGAATCCGTCTCTAGTGGACCCCTAATAAAAATCCCAAACTGAATGAAAGTAAAAATTGAAAGTAAAATCCAAATCTAATATTTGGAAAGAAGTCCTACGTCGTCGGTAGAATGGAAGATCATCTCTCCTCAACACGAACAAGCTCTAGACTGGAAATGTCCGATACCTGAAAAATGATGAGTGGGTCAGGCCCACATGCAAGTTCTATACTACTACTACCCAAGCAGAGACCCGATACGCATGTACATCCTAACCAATCCAACAATAGCTAATAGTCCGTAGATAAATATATATATATAATCACACTACAGGACTCTTACTGGACTACAGGCCCATCTCAACCTGACTAGTAGGCACCATGCGAAAACGCACCCAAAGGTGGGCATGACTACCTAGTTCTAGCAGGGTACACATCCAACCATCATACCCAGCTATGCATCCCAATGCATATACGTTCCCTAACCAACGACTCTGAGACTCAAGCTCATATCGTGGCATCATAAAAATATATTTAAATTCCATTCCAAACCAAAGTGTCACTCAATTATTTATTGATCTGACACAGAAGACAGGTAGGACTTAACTTTTGTAGTTAATCCGTCCCTTAATCCAGAGTAGGTAACTTAGCATTTTTGAGTTAATCACCCTAGTATGACACCGTCCCATACCGGTGCATACAAACCATCCATCCAGTATTGATAATATATATACGATAGCATAACATATCAATATCAACATATCCAATCATAAGCATAACAAGAATGTTTAATTAGCATGCTTGTTCCATACATCTAGTACCTGATTTTCTGATAAATTTTTAAATGCGGAGAAGAAATATAACCATCCTGTAACTCACAATAAGCATAATAATAATAACAACAGTATATACATGCTTACTTGTAATTGTTCCACAACATCCCACAAGTTGACATAAATAAATTCTTGGTAACATCAACTAGTTCCTTATTAAGTATTAACTGAATTTATATTAGTTAATAGGCTTAATCCCATACCCCTGATATATGATTTACTTATCAAACTCCTAATTCAATTGCTAAATTAAAATTAAACAACTTGAATCATCCGCACAAGGCAACCATGTAAACTTTCTTAACAGTTTCATCACGTCCCTTCTACTAACCTTCTATAGTAATATGTATTTTCATGCCTTCTGAAGTTTTAGTAGAATTAAACGTCACTGAGAACCTCTAATTAAACTCTCAGTTGCCCCTAGAAACCCATTAACCCAAGCACAGTATCTAGCAGTCTCGCAGAAAACCAAAAAAATGAAAACCCACAAAGGAGCCGGCTCCACCCAAAGTGGAGCCGCCTCCATTACCAAGTAGAGCCGGCTCTACTATAAAGTAGAGCCTACTCCACTTTTTAATTGAGCCTGCTCTACTTGAAATAGAGCAGGCTCCTTCCCCTGTGCGTCGTTTTTGCAATTCCGGCGGTGTCCGGCTGTGTTGATCCTCCAAACCAAATTTCTTACTGATTAAAATTAAGTCCTTGGGTGTTCAAAAGTTAATTAACTTCCTTGATTAATAATCACATTCAGTGGGAACAAGAATTAAACAAAATAATTTAAAAACGATTAACATGCACCAAAAAGAAAACATGTTGTTCAACTTCTTCTCCAACTCCGGCAACTTTGTTCCTCTAACCCAAGTTTCTTGTTGATTTAAAACTAAATCCTAGGGTATTCCAGAGTAATTTAAATTCATCATTCATTAATTGAATTCAATTGGAACAAGAGTTACACAAAACAGCTCCTAAGTGGATTAAAATCCATACAAGAACACATACTGTTTCAGGTATCTAGCCCTGCGTCCCAGATTAATTTTAAGATTCCCCATTATGTTTTAGAACTATTAAAATTCTTAATCCATCAATTGACATCATTAAAATCATGAATTAAATAAAACAAAACAGTAAAACAACAACACTGTAAAACAAACAATTTAACAGATCATGAACATATGTTTATTAAACAATGCAAGCATGCGAACCAGATTTGTTTTAATCCTTATTTCATCCTGAGATTGTGTTAGGGATGCAAAGAACACAGGTCAAAGAGGTAGAGCTAGTTATAAAACTTGCCTGTGAGACTCGGTTCAGAAATCTCAACGTCTTTCTTCTAAGTTTTCCCGGCGCCCCTTTGGTTTTCCTCCTCTCTGTTTCTTCTGTCTCCACAACGTGGTTAGGGTTCTAAACCCTCGACAGCCTTATATAGATATATTTATAGGTTTATAAGTTTACACAAAACCCTAGTTTAATTTAAACCCTAAACTAAATCCTTAGTCGGCCCATATGAAACATAATTAATGCTTAATTATGTCGGCTACATACATGATTTCTATAACCAAAACCCTTAATTAATCCTACTAACATAAAACTCTATTTATAGAAAAACCATTTATACTAAATTAAATCATTTAACAATTAATTCAATTTCAAGAAAAATAATTAATTCTATTTAAAAATAATTACATCCAATAATTAAAACCCAATTAAATAAACAATTAAATAAAATAATCAAACAAAAACAAGTCATTTAAATAATTCATAATGAAAGCAACAAATTCACAACTAAATCAATAAAACACAATTTAAATAATTAAATAAATTCCAGAATTATCCTTATTAAATTAGGGGTATTACAAATACTGACTAGTCTCTACACATATGATTGTTATATCTCATATCCAAGTACCACAAATTTTGGTAAGCTTCCTCCTTAACATAGCACACCATTAAAAGTGAGACAAATTCCTCTTACTTCTTTGCAAAGTTAGTCTTTTCACCATGCTCTTTATTTAAGTTTGTTCTACATCCTATAACACTCAATATTGGATTTGTCTGTTGACCTTTGTCTGTAAGTGGTGGAATGATGGCTACCTCGGCCTCTTCCTCTCCCTTGGGAACCATGAAAGTGATTATCATCTGACTTTTGGTATTGGTGTTGTTGTTGATTTCTACGGTCCTTGTTTCCTCTGTCTCTACCTCTTTTTTGTTTGGTGTTGTATAGTGATTGTCATGGTTGCTCATCTTTCTCTTGTTGGGTTATTTTCTGCTCAGGAACCAACAACAAAGTTTATAATTCATCAATTGAAAGTTCTTCAATATCTTTAGATTCCTTTATAGAACATACAACAAAATTAAATTTTGGTGTCATAGACCGAAGAATCTTTTCAATGATGGTAACATCCTCCGCCTTGTCGCTATGGATCCACATTTTGCTGACGATTGCCATCGTTCTTGAGAAATAATCTGAGACCAACTCACCTGATTTCATTCGAAGCATTTCAAACTCTGAACGAAGTGCTTGAAGCTGCAGCCTCTTTGCCCTTGATGATCCTTGGTACTTCTTTTTCATCGAATCCCAAATCTGCTTAGAGGAGTTATTGCAAAGAATGGTTTCCAAAATTGAACAATCGATTGCTTGGAAAAGATAATTCTTTGCTTGAAGATCCTTCAACTTCTGCCCTTCAATCTCTGTTTTCTGCTGGTCCGTTAGTGTTGTGCCTGTTGTTGGTTCTGCTACTCCAGCTTCAACAATATGCCAATACTCTTTAGACCTTAAGAAGTTCTCCATTAGCATGCTCCAATGGCCATAGTGACCATCAAAACGTGGAAAGGCTGGTTGCACAAAATTTTCAGAGGCCATCATTTACTTCTACTACTACTGCAAATAAAACAGGTGAAATAGAAATAAAGTTACTGCTATATCACTCTCTATCTCACATTCTCTCTCTCTCTCTCTCTCTCTCTATATATATATATATATATTTGGCTTTGTTTGGCACTCTCAAGTCTCAACTTTTCTTTTCTCACTTTCTCTCTCTCTCTCTCTCTCTCTCTCTCTCTAACCTAGGCTTGGATGCCACTGTTACAAAGTAAGGCTGTATATATGAAAAGTAAAAGTGAATAGAAGAAGAAAGTGTTGAACTCTACATACTATTATTCATTAAACAAAAGGCCTATTGGCAAATACACCATGGATAAAAGCAAAAAATAAGGAAAAAATTAGCCACTAACAATAAAAATAATAACATACTACCACTACTGCATTAATAGTGGAGCTCCTAAAGACTAGCTCTCCTTATTGCATCATTTCTTAAAGACTAGGACAAAAGAAACAAACTATGACTCACATGACAGCACACTTTGATTCTAACAAACTCAGCTTTTTCAACATGGGAGTATGAGTTTTATTCAATCTCATTGCATAATTTATTTTGTAGGAAGTTTCCCATTGAAGAACTTCGATAGAGAAAAAAAGATATAAAGTAGTTTCTAATCAATCGCTAATGCGTTACCTATCCATAGAAGGAAAGCTTGGATTTTAATTCTCTAATAAGAGCCCAATAAAGGATTTTTTCAGAGTGACCCGTGACCAAATCAATTGCCAAAAAAATAACATCAGATCATCTTTATTTTCCCTCCATGAATGTATTGTATTTATATCTTTTTTAATACCCAACACATTGCTCCATATATTATCGCCGACGGGTGACAATTTATACCCAAACCTGATATCCAAATTTAAGTGAGTGAGTCAGTAATGTATAAAAAGTGGATATCCATACAATTCAATGGTCAATGATGAGTTAAGAATGTAAATCCATCTTAACCCACTCAAACAAAACTTTTTTTTTTTCCAGTGATAACTCTCTCTCTCTCTCTCTCTGCCTCACTTTTCAACTTTCTATATATATAAATTTATAAAAAGAATAAGACACGAACACAACAATGATACGGTAATAAAATAATAATATAATTATATTAAATATATGAATATAATTTATAACTCTATTTCAATTACGCCATTAAATATTTAATATTTCTTTTCGACAACAATCTTTATATTGTGTAGATAATCTTTATATTCAAAAGGTGCATGTTTTATAACTGGGCCCAAATTTGTTGCAGATCTACTTTTTACTTCTATAGCTACAGTAGCTCGTTACAGTAAAAAAATATATAAAAACATAAATTTTTTGCTCAGGTCATTTTAGGCCCATTTTACGAAACATTTCAGAAAATATGAATTCCATTACAAGACCATTGCTTCGCTATAGTAACGGGCCCAAACCTAAAAAAATACAAAGTAAAAATAAATACCAAACATGATCTAATTATCCAATGGAGTACTGATATTGGGCTTAATTACTTGATGACATGAAGTGAGAACTCTAATGAACTTTATACGTTTAAAATTAATAATAATAATAATAATAATAATAAGGGTAAAGTGCATTAAACCACCCTCAACTATACCCAAATAAGCACAAAACCCCCCTAAATTTCTAAATGAGCAGAAAACCCCCCAAACTATAGTGTTTGGTTGCAAATCACCCCATCTGGCAAGGGTCCGGTAGATTATGGCCGGTAAACACAACACATGTTATCACGTGATGTGAATTATAAAATTAAAGGACCATAGTCCCCTTGTTCACATGAAAGGACTATAATGCCCCTTTGTCACCATTACACCCAAAATTCCTTTCTGATCATCCAAGTTAGTGAATTGTAACCCAATTTCAGAGAGTTTCATCTTACAAACCAAATCCAAACCGAGCAGAGCATAATCATCTAAATTAAATCAAAAAAATGACCCAAGTCAACCACCTACATTTTTTAGTTCTTCAATGGTGGCAAAGGGTATCCGTAGAGATCCTTATTCCCCTCTAAAAGCTCACATTGAACCTCGGCAAATTCCCACTCCGATTCCCCAACGAAGCCAGAATCGGACCGAAGAGTCTATTATTGGAGACGTTGAACACTAAAAGGCAGACGAGGCAGCCCAACTGCTAAGGGATTTGATCGGTGAGCAAATTGTCGTGGAGATCGATGACGTTGAGGTAGGCGCAGAAGGCGAGCTGTTGGGGAATGTCATCGAAGTGCCGATTAGCGAAGAGGTTGAGAAGGGCGAGGTTGACAAGGTATTAGAGCTCCGGCGGGATGGGTCTGATGAAACCTTTGGAGGAGAGGTCGAGGGACTGGAGATTGGTGCAGTTGGAGAGGTAAGGGGATAAGGAGCCTTTTAGAGAGAGATTAGTGAGAGAAAGCTTCTAGATGCAACCATTGTTGCAGGTGGCGCCTTGGATGTAGGAGGTGAAGCCGGAGCAAATATTATAAAGCTGATATGGTGTTTTCAATTCTCTGTTAGGAAATGTGGTGTTTGGGACGTGACAGTATAACCCTAACCTATTTTGACAAAATCCCAAAATTAAATCCCCAAATCACACTAAATTATTTGAGTTTATAGAGAGAAGTAACGGCGATGGTGGGGTGATGGCAGTGGGTTTGTGTGGCTAAATTGGGTTAACGATGTGGTGGTGGTGTGTGTTTGGAGTGATGATAGTGGGTTTGTGTGTGGTTAAATTGGATTTGACGATGTGGTAGTGGTGATGGCATGGGTTTGTGTGGTGGCGTACGAGCATAGACGGTGTTATTGGTGGGAGTTGGGGAGCTGATAGTGTAATGACCCGGATTTTTGGATAAATTTTTTTTCTGTTGTCTTTTCCCTTCTGAGTTTGGTTTCTTGTCGATTAGTGTCGTCTCAAGTGCTCTGGAGTGATTTCCGATACTCTTTTCTTTGGATTGACAACTTCCTTTGAGGACCGAGTCATTTTCACATTTTTCGTTTTTCGACACTATTCATTTTTCGTCCTTTTTCTTATTTCGTCTTTTTTCCCTATTTTGTCTTTTTCCCGTTTGTCACTTTGTTGGTATAACCACACTTCTTGTATTCGGAGTTGGTTTTTGACTTCACGTATCTTCATCTTGAGTGGTTTCCATGAAATACGTATCATTACTTTTGCAAAAAAGTACTCTGGTTGCTCCAGGTGTCAATAGGGGCATGGATGCAAAGTTCTTTGGTAACTTTTCCTTTTCTTGGGGTATTTTTTGTAAATATCTTTTGAAGATATTTTATTTCAGGGGTATCTAAGAAAATATCTTTTGGAAGATATTTTTATTCAGGGGCAGTTTTGTAGTTAACCCTTTTTGTAGGGGCCATTGTGCAATTAACGAAAGTTATTGCAAAATATCTTGTAACACCCCCACATTTCCCACGCATAAGTTGATCAGGCTTATACACGAAAAACGAGGGATATCAAAAACAATTGGCAATATACAAGCATGGAATACAAAATGATGGAAATAAAAGAATTTAGACAGGAAAGAAACATTAAATAATACAACATCCATCCATCCTTTATTTGATACAGTACTTCATTACAACTTGGAAATCCTACGTCAGGGATCCCTAAATATAACCCTGAGAGTTCAACGTCAAAAGTAGATAAAAACTGAAACTGAAATACTACATAAAACTTCTACCCTGCACTGGATCGTAGGAGTAGATGAGTTCGGATGATGGTCCCACACTGCTAACCTCAGCCTTGAAACGGATACTGACCGTATCCTGAAATAACAACAATGGTGGGTCAACCCCACGAGCAAGTCCTCTCTACTATGACCCAAATCAGAGAATCAAATAAATTAATCATTATGAATCGGATGAGTACTATATCTGTATACATCCTACGGGAACTATCCGATGTATAACATGACCTCAACCAGAATAGACGGAGATCACTTAGACTCACACTAGGTGGTCAAGTGTCGCCTTTCCCTACCCGGGAAATCAGCTATTATACATGGTGCACGGTACTGACAACACAGACTATAACGAACTACACAGTGATAACACCTCGCAAAGTACTGATGAATATACTGAGCATATAAATTAGGCAACACATGCCAACAATATTAATAAATGTACCGAGAATGTCAATTTAGGCAACACATGCCAATAATATTAATAAATATACCGAGTATGTCAATTAGGCAACACATGCCAATAATATTAAACCACATACCCCGACAGCCACACATCTGTCTATCGCAACGAATGCATAAGGTATAAATGAGTCTAAACTTATTAGTCAGCTCACATGGTTCTATATGGCAACACATCCATATAATATAAATGCGACATAATAAACAGTCCATTTATTCCCTGAAATGCACACAGCATAATAATCATGGTTTATATATCAATTAACAGTATAAACATCCTATAAGATATCATGGATAATTTATCTGACTAAAACCATGACCTTATTTAATTTAACAGTAATGTTTGATACCATTAAATACGATAATAACACTATTTATATTTAACAATGTCGTTAAATAAATCACATTAGTATCCGTACTGCGAACGAGCCAATAAATGCTTAGAAAAGATTAATCGGCCATAAAAATGAGTAACGGGTGTTAAAATAATAATTTCGTGGCCCGTTAAACCCGTAATTACCAACACAGTACCTAAAAATCCAAGTTTAAGGTTCTGGAATTTACAAAACAGGCCCTAGGGGTATTCTGGTAATTTCCAGCAGCTGTAGGGACCCCACATGCGCCCTCACGCGCCTCCCAGAGCCTCCCCACGCGCAGCCCAACCTTCCCCACTCTCCCACGCGCCTCCACGCGCGTCTGGCATCAGCCACGCGCTCCCACGCGCGTGCACGCGCTGCCACGCGCGCACTAAGGGTGCCTTGCTGACGTGTCACTTCCTGGTTGGTTGGCTGCATCCGGATTCCGTACTCGCGTCACACCGGATCATCTCACCCTATCTTCCCTCCATCCAACGCCCAC